AAAATAAAATTGTATAATCCGTAAAGAGGCAGCTTTTTAACTTGAACAGAGTATAATAATTATAATATAATATGTACTGGTAAATGACGGATGGACGGGYACAACAATGATAATAAAAAGTGTTCTAAACATTTGTGTTTAGATATACAGAACTCAATGAATTCACACATGATAATACAACTTACAAGTGCATAACTCTCAAGTTAGATAATTATTATGTTAATAATTTTTCCATACCCAAATCCACTCATTAACTTGCAGAATAATAGTATTGGATAAATCTGAGACACGCTAGATATGAGGTTGAAGATACCATCAATCATCATGCAGACGACTAATGTATACCTTCTGCCTTTGGAATCTGCCATGTAACCCGTAATAAAACATCCGAAAAACATTCCTGAGAGAAACCAACTATTAAATTAAACCACATATTATAAACATGAGCAATGCAATTCGTTGGTACCTATCATCGAAGCTCCATTTAGGATGCCTTTGTGGACAGATGTCAAATGAAAATCACACTGTGCTGACGGTATAATGAAGGACACTGACGTCACGCTAATGGAGATTGCTGAGAATAACGATCCGCAAATGAACAATATGTAGTAATGAAAACTTCCAAATCCTGCATTAAATAGAAACATATTAACATTTCTTGCTTCAAGTGTCTAATAATATAGTAAGGTATAACTTTAATCAATCACACGATTTCAAAAATATTAACATTTTAATATTATATTAGCTTTTTTTTTTTACTTGAACGCTTATTAATCCTAAAAACTAGTCAAAATATAATTGAAATAATGTTATTTTATTGAAAAATAATAAAAAATAATAATTATAATGTATTCATTTAGTAGGTGTCTAAACGTAAGGACTAAGGAGTATATTTGTAATGTATGCCTACCAATTTCTATATAATAAACATAATACTTAATCTAATTTAAACTCCTTTTTTAAGTTAAAAATATGAAGTTAACTGTTTTTCGTCTTTTAAATTAAAACTAGCTTTTTAAAACTGAATTAAACTTGTAAATTATAAAATTAAATAAATATTTTCTTATCAATAATCATACATTTCTATCTCTTTCCAACCCAAAGTATCCTTTTGGATATGAAAAGTATAATTTAATATTCAGGGTAATTGCAAGCCAAGCATGCTCACTCCATTTTTTCATTAATGATGAATTTATTAAAATTCTGATTTTTTTAAATTTTTAAGTATACCTAAACAAAACCCGTATTTTTAAATTCCCGAGATTTACTAAGAATAATAGTCCTTAAAAATGGTTTTACAAAAATATTTCAAAATATATGTTATTGTATGTAATATTGGAATTAATATTTATATTACACTCGGGAAAATTTTATAAAATATTATTGTTGATAAATAATATTTAATGTTTTATCCGTCCCATGAATGACATTCATGGGACGGATAAAACATTAAATATTATTGTTGATAAATAACTTTATTATTTATGCATGACTAAAACATTAAAATCACCTTAGCCCTCATATATCTTATAAATTCATTACCATTTACCATAAACCTTTTATCTTTTGGACACAAAGTAACTCAAAAGGTCAGCTCCCATTTCGCCGCGGTACCATTTCACCGAATTTATTTTTTCGCAGTTCCATTTCGCCRAATTTATTTTTTAAGTAACTCTTTTAAGTAAACTTAAGATTAAAAATTACATTCTAATTAGTTATATTTATGTAATATGTAATCTGAAATTATTACACGAGCTCCACAGTTTTCAATACACTTCCAATATTTTTTATTTTTTATTTTTTTATCAATTCTAAAATAAWAGTTATTGAAAATAAGGCATTCCCCTTTTCGCTGTGTAGAAATATATTCAATATTATGATTAATAAATTTGGATTAATTTGGCGGCGAAATGGTACCGCGGCGAAATGGGATACGACCACTCAAAAACTACTCGTACGAATTTAGATTCTGGTACGTTAAATTTTTTAGAAAAATTATCCACTAAATAATTTATAGTTGAAAGGGTTCTCATTTGAAACAGAAGTTCTCTACAGGGCATTACTTAAGTACTAGTAGTACTACGAAAATCACGAGCATTTGAAAAAATGGTCSYTAAGTTCATAGGCGTGTCTAGACCTTTGACGCAGAGGGTGCAACCTGGTGCGAACCCAAGGGACTATAATGGGCCTTTGTCCTCTTTTTTGAACAATTTTTCTTAATTCATGGTGCCATTTGAAATCGCAGAGGGTGCAGGTGCATACCCTGCACCCCCCGTAGACACGCCTATGCTTAAGTTTATTTAAAAATTCTAAAAATCAGGTTTTTTAATAACTACATTATTGAAAAAAATAGGAATAATCGTGCTTGATAAATTACTTTGTATAACTTCAATAAAAACTAAAAAGTACTCATATAATATGGCCCTATGACTGTAGATAATATATCTACTATCGATGGCGTTTATAAGAGTGATGCGAGAGGTTAAATCTTTCCATACTTTTGCTTTTCCATTTTTTTTTTTGGTGGTAGGGGGGTGCATAGGAAGGTGTACAAAGCATAGAAACGTATCTACCGAGTTTTTTTAAGACTTTTTTCATAATGATACATATTTCACACATCATAATACTCATCGGCTATAGCTGTAATGTGTATATTTTACATATAACAACTTATTATGAATATGATGGTCAATAATTGGTTAATAACAAATTTTCTGTACCTGCATGTACAAGTAAMTCACTTATATTGTTCTACAGATACTTTTAAAAATCGAAATAAGCAATAAATATATATTTATAATTTACAGCGCACTCTAGTGATGTTTTTGCAACTAAACTTAAGTCACCATCGACATCACAAGGCGCTCTATAGTTGAATTACTTTTTTTGAATAAGCTTATAACATACACTATATTAATTTTATTTCATATTTATTTGTATTTTATTTTGATCTTAAAAATCATTAWCAAAAACCCCGTCATTATAATGATTTTATCCTTAATATTTTTAAGATTTAAAATAAAGAACTTTTAAAAAATGTTTCATTGAACTATATGTTTTATAAATATGTAAATTACAGTAATACTCGTGCCAAAAATTATATTTTAAAATATATAACTAGGTAATTGTTATTTATTAATGTATGTTTAAATTGTAATTATTTTTGCTAGTTTGTTACGATGCGTATAAATAAATTTTCAACTTAACTTAAATTATTAATTTAATATGCGTACAACAGCGAATATAGGCTCACCGAGAAATTGGGAGGTTCTGGAACTTTAGGACAGCTTGCATGATTATCCAAATAAAAAATTTGTGCAATCGTGTAATACTTTTGAATCGATTTAAATTTAGAACAAATTATAACTTACCAACAATTCCGATAGCTTGGTCCAAATTTACTGGTTTAGTTATCAAATATTTAGAAGTTGCTATTTCTAGAAAAAAAAATCAAAAATGATAGTTTTGAGTACATGGTAATATTATGTAAATAAGTATTGTATGGTGCTATTATAGGATACAGATCTTCAATTAAGGATCTAAAGCTAAAGACAGGGGCGTCATTTGTGGGGGGGCAGGGTGTGTGGTTTGCACCCCTTACTTTTAGAATGTTATAATTGGCCTGCACCTTGCTAAAGCCTAAAATAATGCACGAGCCACGAATGCACAACTATTTATATTTGATTAAAATCAAATTGTAATAACCGGTCTTTAATGTATGGAAATAATTGAATGCAGTATAATATACATATACGTATGTATATCTATTTTTATATGGCCTGGTGAAATTTCAAAATGGCCTGCTTGAAACTTCGCACAMCCGAAAAAAACCTGAAATGACGCCCCTGACTCAAAAACATGTTGTTTATATTTWTCAACTTAAATTATTATGTTCCTGAAAAAATTGCATCTATATTAACAATATAATGTATATTATCTGTTGGCATAAGCGCATAAAATATAACATTTGTAGTTTGTACACATACCGATACCATGTAACAGTCCAAGAAAAAACTAACCGTTACCGTGTTCAACTCAGTGGGCAGTTTTAGTAGGAATAGCTTATTTTTTCTARCTTATTTTATCAAATTTTGGGCTGATAAAACTGTGAAACAGCAATTACAGCAAGTCAATATATTATTACGTTATGGACTCCACAAGATACCCAGTGCCAACACTCATTCCATCATCTTGTTGGACGTCAATAATCATGTACTTAATACATTTTCGTGTTTACTTTATTGCCATCAATATGCAAAAATATTTCAAAGAAAACTCATTAGAAAATGTTGGTACCHAATCTCCATACAAAAACTTGTCAACGAATAAGTAGAAACTTAGAATAACGGCAGAAAAGTGTAAATAAAAATAAGATTAAATTAGCAAGAAGCAAATTAACCAATTCAAGAATTCAACCAAATAAGCCTCAGTAGTCCTCATCACGCAAAACATCGTACAATATTGCCCTCTCAATACAAAACCAAACTACGATCCTAATAGTCATATTATTATTATATCTAACACTAAGCGCATAACAAGCAGAAATGTACTATTTAGTATTATTAGTCTTTACTCTTCAATCTTAATTAAATTTTACAATTAAAAGTCTATTTTTAACTTATTTATTTAACTTATTAATATTACATTTTGTTTTTTAACAAAAAACTGAATTTATCAAAATGTTAAATGAACATAAAATATKATTGATGTAAGTATATTACAAATATGTTTAATTACATATTCAAATGTTTCATTTACAAATTAACATGACTTAATTTTAGTATACCATCGGACACTTATTAATTACTTCAATTATTATAAATATCCTTTTRATTATCAATATCAATAGTTATGTTCTTTATTATTACAGTTATAACATCTTAATATTTTTCGTTGTATGCTGTTTATATATACGAACAAATACACATTGTATTTTATTTTCACAAGTTTATCAATAGCACAARAATGTACTATTTATATAAACAAGACAATTGATCAATGATTAATAAAGACATTTAGTTGATATGTAGAGGTACCTACAACATACGTTGCGTAATATTTTACAGTATTTTCACGTATCAACGTTGTGAAAATTGTATGTAATTGTTTTAATATTTTTTTAACACTATAATTACATTTTGTTTTAATAATATAACACTTTCAATCTGTTAGTTTTAAACCATAAAAAWTTTTTATACGTTACAATGTTTATTTTATTTAAAAAGTAAGTAAAACTATACATGTACAAAACAATAGCATATATGGCTGTATAATTTTTAGTTTCGGTAACAGTTGGTTGTTAAAACTTAAAAGCGAAATTTTGTTTTATTGTGAGAATATACCTATAAGATGTAAGTATATTATGTCCTAACTAAATAACGGTAATTACAATATTATTACAATGTATACAGAATGCAATAACCATCACTTTTAAGMTCTCTACTAATGTCTGTCACATAAAAAATGTCTACTAAAGATTTTTATGTATTTTAAAATTGAAAAAGTTTAAAATAATTTTTTTTCTCATAACTAATAATAGAAAATATTTTTAATTTATAATTTTTTTAATTAAAACTTACCAAAACTTTTGATGTCTGTATCCAAATGTACCAGTTGAGTACTTTTAAGGCACGTAGATTTTGCGTCTTCTATAAAATAAAAACAAATTATTTCCATATTTGATTGTTTTAAAAATTGGATTCCACTTATCACTATATTATGTACAACCCTTCATTTAACTAAAACTATATTTACCTTTTGAATTATTCTTTTCCATCATGATCATCACGCAATGGGCAAACAATCAAAATTATGCATAAATTAAAAACACTCTGCCCAGCGTCCCTAACTAAAGTTATTACTTCAACGTCCATACGTGCAATAAAACGATTGCCATAATTTAAATTCAATATTACTAATCCATTTTACTATCGGCAAATGTCATGATRCACAGTAATTATATCGTTTTAACACAGTCTCAGATAAATGGTGTTATTAGTTACTTATCGACTTTCATAGCGCAAGAACACAAGCTATCGAATTAAAAATATATTAATACGTTTAAATTGGTCGAGTGAGTGTGTTTAATACGATGTCGGATGGTATAATGTCATAGACCCGTGTATCATAAATATGCGTGGCTAAAGAAAAAGCGTGGTATCAACCGTTCGAAAATTGGTCGACGTACGTGCATGTTCGTCTAATCCCACACAAGAAGCAGACGTAGAATATGGCCATATTAGTACACTAGCTGTACGCCGTATTCTCGTGCGTATCTAAAAATACAAAAATAGCTTTTAAAATATTACGTGCACGTTTTATAATATTAAAATATAATTCGCCCATGATGTATTATGTACTATATCTCTAATACAATGAAATTATCCAAATTGGCCGACGACATTAACAAATCCGAATTTTTTTTTTCATTTATGCATCAATATTATATTAATGCCCAGTAAATAATGATTGTGATTCAACCATTTTAATATATGCTAATGTTCTTCACGATTCATTGCTGAAACTGATTATCTAATTATTACAAGTGTATTATCATAACTTTATAACCTACCGTATGCTATCAGCTGTTATATTATAGTAGTCTACAAACAAACTCGTTTGTGAAATAACTTTAGATAACACATAATGTAATAATGTCTTGTACTTGTTGTATAGTTTTGATAATAATTTATTCATGCGTTAAATTGAATTAATGAAATACGAGCATATTATGCAGAACAGTGGATAATTTACAAATATTTTAGAAAATATTTGTATTGCCCATTTTAAAGAACGTATCTTACTTTTTTCCAAGTGGCATAGCGGTATAAGATTATAAGATTAAAATCAATATTTTCTATAGTAGTACCGGACCCTATTTCAAATAATTGATTAAAGGGC